CTTTTTGGTTGAATTTGTGTTTGCTTGTATTTTGATGAAGGAGAAAGAAATTAGACCGTTGGAGTTTCAGGACACAAGCCGAAGAAATGAACGGTCAAGTTAAGAATATGTCTGCGAAATAAGTTGGTTTGATTGTGATCCTGTAATGGGTTAGGCGAAAGCTACAGCGTACGCTGTGATGGGTTATGAATGTCGTAATGTTTAATTTTAAAATCGAAAGTCATCATCAATCTTTTTTATCAAGTGTGATTAGTCATTTAAAAAGTTTATCTTTTTAATAAAATAATAAAACGAGTTTAAAATTTATGAAAAAGATAATTTTGGTCTATAAAAATAAAATTGGGTTCGAGAGTCACTTATAGGTAGAGAAGGATTTGCACTCCCATAATGCCTATAAAAATTGGTACCAATTAATTATGCTTTTATCTTTGAGGTTGAATAAAAATGTTTTGATTTGAAAATTTAATAATAATTCATTTTATTTTTTTGAAAAAAAAATCAATGTTATTAGAATTCTTTATTTAAGAATACCAAGAAAATTTTTGAGTTAAAGAATTATCTTAAAATTTTTCAACATTTAGGCAAAATTTACTAATAACTCTTTTTGCTTAAGATTTGCCACAACATTCATCAAATGAAAATAACATTCTTTGTAAATGACAATTATTTGTGACTCTCTAACATCTAGGCAGAGAATCAAGAATTATTTCTTTTAGAATGTTAATTTAGTTTTGTTTAAAAATCTACTTTTTGAATAATACTTTTCATAAAAACATTTTATGTAAAGAAAACTGATGATGCTACAATTAGCTAGCAAATGATAATTAATGGTGTAAACATGCAAAAGGAGTACAAACAATAATGAATAGATGCATGTATGCTAATGGATGTTATCTAAGATGATGAAATGCAATTTTAAAGTTGAGTTCCTAAATATAAGAAGATTACCCTAATTTTTCAATATCTTGGCAGAGTTTAAGTATGACTATTTATATTTAAGGTGCCATTTTTAAGATATTTTTTATTCTTTTGTTTAATTTTTTTTATTATTGTGGGTTAAGGACTTGTATGAAAAACTCAATGAAATAAAAATTTCTAAATATCCCATATTTTAGGTGGCATTATGGAACAAATTATTTGACGTGAGGATTTCATATGTATCCTTAGGATTTTGGGATAGTTTTGGGTATGGGTTTAGGTCAAAGCTTTAAAGTTTGAATGATTTTCTGGTGATGATTTGGGATTACGAGACAAATTTATGGTTTGGGTTAAATTTATGGTCTTGGTGGATTTTTAAGAATTGTGGTCTCATTTTTAAGGTTTCAAGGTTTTAGAGTCTTGGGTTTTAGGGTTTTGGTTTTGAGATTTTGAGGTTTCAAGGTTTAAGGTTTTGAGTATTTAGGTTTAGGGTTTTGAATTTTAGGGTTTTAGATTTTAGGATTTCAGGGTTTTGGGTTTTGAGGATCATAAGGATTTGAAGTTTTGGGGTTTTGGATTTTAGGGTTTCAAATTTTAGGTTTTAGACTTTAAGGTTTTGAAATTTTAGGGTTTGAAGGTTTTAAGAGTTTTAGGGTTTTAAGTTATGAGGGTTTTAAGGTTTTGTGTTTTAAAGGTTTTAGGGTTTTGAAGTTTTAAGGTTTTGAGGGTTTTGAGGGCTTTAGGGTTTTGCAAATTTAGTGTTTAAGGTTTTGAGGGTTTTAGAGGTTTAGGTTTTTGATTTTAGAGTTTCAAAATTTTGGTTTTAGGGTTTCGAAGGTTTATAGTTTTGAAATTTAGAGTTTCAAAATTTTGGGGTCATAAAATTTGTGTTTTTAGGATTTTGAAATTTGGGGCTTCAAAATCTTGATTTTAGGGTTTTGAGAGTTTTAGGGTTTTGTGGGTTTGGAGTTTTAAGATTTTGTTTATAAACTTCTCTAAAAATCTCTAATATTTAGGCAAACTTTCGGAGAAACATCACTTTTTATGACTTTCAAAAACTAATTAAATAAAATTTTTTTATATATTTCTCTTTCATAAAAATTTACTATTATTATTATTTTTCATTACTTGTTAGTATTTATTCTTATTATTTAATAATTTCTTAACATTTAGGTAGATTTAAAAAATGATTTTTATTTCTTCCATCACCTAGGTAGGGATTAAAAAATATTTTTTATTATTATATTTTATTATTTTTTTCACTATCCTTATTTTTATTTTTTTTTTTTTAAAAAGGTGAAAGAAATTTTACTATTATCTTTACTTTTTGTTTTTATTTATTATCTATTATTATTTTTAGCTTTTTATCATTTCATTATTCTTATTTTTAGGAATATTTTGGAGGATGACAACACAACTTTTGTCTAAATTTATCTTTTATGATTTATTTAAAAATAATAGTAAAATAATAATAATTAATCCAAAAGTTTTATTTTTCCAAAGTATTTTTAATTTATTTTATTTATTTATAAAAAAAATTTACACACCAAAATGTAAAATATAGTATAAAAAAATCAGAAATGAAATAATATAAATATATAAAAAATGAGCAAGAAAAATGAGAAAAAATAAAAAGATACAAAAGAAATACCCAAAATGCCTCTTGGTCAAAGCAGTAAACGATCTAGTAATCGGTTTTGTGCCTTCCAGTCGATTGGGGGTAGTTTAGCAGATCTAGCTGATTTAGCTCAAAGGAATGGGTTAATGGGTTGGCTGTACAGATCTTGAGTCGAGTCGGGTTGAGATGCGGATTTATAGCCCTTGAAATGATGTCGATTTAATTTTTTTTACTATAAAAATATGATTTTTTTTCAAATCATTTGTTTCCTTTTCCACAAAAAAAAAAAAAAGAACTTCAGAGCACCAAAAAATTTTCAGAGCTCCTGTTGTCATCTGACTTTCGACTTTCATGCTGCCTCACCGACTATAGTCAGAGGTCACTGGCTGATCACCAAAAAACCTAAAAACCACTTCAACTCCCTCTTTGCTGATTCACCCTCATTTTCACGAAAAACACCTTAGACAACCTAGATTTGACTTGTAAAGTTTTGGTTAAACCTTATTTTCTTTGTTGGTTTTTCTTTTTTTTTGAATCTTGACAGTGGTGACTTTTGGCACTAGTCCCGCTTCAAAGGACGTGCGATTTTTATTTTTTTTGCTATGGATTTTTTTTTATTTTTCTTTTGGTGAGGTTGAACGGGATTTTTTTTTTTTTAAGGGTAGCTTAGGTTTTTTTTGGGTGGTGGGGTCTAGGGCAACAATGGGTTTTGGCTTTTGTCGCTAGTGTAGAGGCGCACAACGGTGGTTCATGTAGGCTGTGGTATGGTGTTTTGGCTTGGGACTCAGGAGAGGCATGGTGGATAGGTGTGTGTGCCAGGGTAGAGCTGGAGGTGGAGGTCGTTATTGGGGCTAAGGTCGGGTGAGGATATAGTTTTAAGGTGCGGGCAGGGGACTAGTTCTTGGTGGGTGGATTTTGGAGGTGCTGAGTATTGGGTGTGAGAGTGATTTGAGATAAGGAGTTGGTTTTGAGGGTTGGTCGTGGGGTCAATGGTGGTCGAAAGTGCAAAGGCTTGGGGCCTACGTAGTGCCTGTGTTCAGGGTTGAATGAAAAATGGTCAAAAGAAAAGAAATGGTTGTTCCTTGTGGTAGTTACGATGGTCGTATTTTTTCCTCCCTCCTAAAAAAATAAAAAGGCAAACATCTAAGGTCTTTTTAGCACCTTAGTGCCCATGGAGGTACATGAAAATTAAATCCCTTTGGGGTTGTTATCGACTGCAGGAATGAGATTATTGTATTTTGGGATGGTGTAGCCTGTTGCATTTGGGGTTGAGTGCCTTTGCCCAGTTCATGTTGAAAGTGAATTAGGGTAAAATGTGGAGAGAAAAATAGAGGATAACTGGAGAGGGAATTTAGTAGTGCTGATTTTGGGGTGTTGGGAAAGTGACAAAAATTTGGCAAAATTAGGTAGAAGATGAATTGATGCAAAATGAAAAGAAAAATAAAAGAAAGCTGGAAAAACCAAATTATATATATATATTTTATGGTATTTGATTAATTGTTTATTGTTATTTTTAGTTAATTAAGATAATCAAATTAATCATAAAAATAAATAATTTAGGATTTATAATCAAAAATAAAAATTCGGGTTATGGGCTTTTAGGCCCTAATGATTTGAACCAAGTTTTAAGAAATTCGAACTCGTAATTGGATTTTGAGTCTTCAAATTAAACTTTTCAATTTGAATTCAAACTTGACCTTATAATTGAATTGGACCCAAACCATGCAAAATAATCTCAAATCGACTAACTCGAATCAAAATCTGAATAGATCAAATTCAAATCGAATGTAAAAGTTAAGTAAATTCAAATTGACTCTAACAAAATTAAATGTTTACAAAGAGTTCCCTTTGACTGGTTATCTAACAAATTGCAAGAAATTTCTGTAAACAATGTACATGGGAAAGCGGGTTTTGTGCCATTGTCCTGTTTTCCTCATGCAGAATTAATAACCTATCATCGCACTGTGTCAAATTAATAGACGACTTCATATGTCACTGCTTGAATTAAAGAAGGTAATAACCAAAGTAGTATGAATTTTGGAATGCAAAATAGAAATTTGGAAAGGGGAAGGCCACGTCAAGTGCCATATGGATAAGTCAATGTCATATGAGATTATCCTATTATAATTTAAGATTATCCTATTCAATGTCATTCTTCCAACTCTTTTATTAATAGCTTTAAAATATCTAAGATTATCCGATTATAATTAGAAAAATATTTAAAATTATACTAATAATCATATGAGATTAGATTAATATTATAGTTTATAAAATTATAATTAAAATAATATCTAAAATTACGAAATCATATAATATTATTTCCTTAATTAATCAAAATCTTTTGTATATAAATAAAGTACCTCATAATATTATTTTCTCAAATTAGTGGAAGAAAAAAATTTATTTTTTTGCTAACATCATTCTTCCAACTCTTTTATTTTTAGCTTTAAAACGGGTTGCCACATCCGTTCTCTTCTTGTCCCGACTTAAACAATTGCAAGATAGAAAAAAAAAACATGGTCAATCCCTCTGGTTTTCTCCTGGCCGTTTCCCTAGACCTTGCTACTCTGATCATTGCCTTGTCGACCGTCGACGCAAGTGGTGAGCACAACTTGAGCTTGGTGCCGACCAAGTCTGGCTGCCAGGGCTCGATGGATGAGTGCATGGCTAACCATGAGTTTAACATGGATTCCGACATTAGCAGCCGGCGCATGTTGCAAACCACCCCGTACATAAGCTATGGCGCTCTTCAGAAGAACGCCGTGCCATGCTCTCGAAGGGGTGCATCCAACGATAACTGTCAGCCAAGATCAGAAGCTAACCCTAACGACCGAGGCTGATGCGACATTACTCGTTGCCGTGGTTAATTCCTTTATATTCTGTCTCATTTGTAAGATAGAACTATATATATATATATATATTTATATAGCAATAAAGTGGAAATAGTTAAGAATATGAAGCTCCCCTCGGTGAGGTAGAGAATCTATGTTATTAAATAAATTCCAAGATAAATTATAATTTAATCTTTTATGTTTCTTTGTCCTTTATTTAGATGTTTTAGAATTTTACATTCAAGTTTCAATCAGTTTCACTTCAGTTATAGAAGATAGATTGATCAGACAATCTGTTGACGATAGTACTCTCAAACAATAATAATCAGCTGCTTATAACACTCTCTGGTCAGTTTTATGCTGAGCCTTCTTCCTCTTGCTTTGCTTCATCCAACTTTTTCTTTGATGGGGCTAAAGGGAATAGACTATGGAGAGACCTCCACTTCCATCTTTGCTTTGAGGTAATTAATGCTCTGCTTCAGCTCATTTATACGGTTTCCCATCTCATCAAGCGCTTTGGAGTCAAGTAAACAATAGATGTTCTACATTTCAATACTCTAAAGTAAGTAACTAACTAGTTCCATTTAAGTAATGCTATAATACATCCAAGAAGCAACTCAGCAACATTCCATATATTTGACTGTTGCTATCTAACAAAAAGAATGTTTTAATGAATTTAATAACACGTGAAAAGGATATTCTTTGTGATAATGGAATCAGATATTGTTTGAAACCTGGATTGCTGCAAACAAAATCTTTGTCAATAACTGAAAATATATTCCAACATTACAGGGTCCAATCGTAACTCAACATGTGTTGAAAATTTTGCAGCTGCAAAAATCAATCAAAGAAATCGTTAACTAAAGAATTATAAGAAAGGTACATCAATAACCACAACAAATAATTTCTGAATTATATTCATTAGAGACTATGGTCCATGCACAACTTAACAACCTAAAAGTTGAGACTAATCAAAATTAGCAGTGGTTATGCCCTAATGGTACTTGGAAAACGGAATAGTCATTAAAAGCTAAAATGATAAAAAAACCCCCTTAAACTATTTTAAAAAATCAAGATAAATCCCTAATATTTCATTGCATCTAACTAAGTCCTTAAAGTTTTATTTTTCACTAAAAAAGCCCTGATTCCATTCATGCGATCTACGTGTCCATTAACTATTAGACATGTCGGCAATTATTCAATATGTGGAAAGATGACATGGGGTTATTAGCTAATGTGGCAATCCGATTCAATAAAAAATACATGTTGCAAGCATGAAATTAAGGAATCTCCAGTTTTTTTTTTTTCTTTTTATAATAGAATCGTCATTATTAGAAGATTTATTTGTGTTTTGGATTGTGTTTAGGGATATGCTCCGATCTGTGTAGGACTTGAAGAATTCTATATTGGACGCTTGTATTTTGCATTCATGTATTTTCTTTGTCTTCAATAATTTTTGATTTATTTATTTTTCTTTTATGCAATTTTCCTGAAGATTCTATGTCAGAAGTGAATTAACAAATTTTCCTAGAAGCACGAAATTATTGTTCATTTCTAATTGTTGAAGACAAAGTAGCTCAATTTTGATCTTAAATAGTTTTTGGCAACTTTGATACTAACTGGACACAAGATAAGGAGGAAAATGATGGAAACTTAAGAAAAATTGCATTTTTTTTGTTAAAATTAATTTTTAAGGATCTTTTTTTTTTTTTTTTAAATTTTTACTGTGTAATTTGCTTTATCTTTCTTTTTCCAAAAAATGAAAACAGTTTTGCTCTTTTTTTTTTTAATTTTTTCTTATTTTTAGGTGTGCAACACTATAGCAAAATGACGTATTAGCAGCAGTTTTGTAACAGTCTTTCACTTACAAACGCCACTAGCTTTCGTGTTTTTATAAAATTTTAGACGTTTATTATCTAAACGCCACTAAATATTCAAATAGCGGTGTTTATAATATAAACGCCATTAAATACAAAAATTAACAGTGTTTATCGACTAAAACGCTTTCAATAATCTTATTTGTTAAAATTGGAGTGATTATTGAAGGCGTGTCAGGCAAAAAATGCCTTCAATAATCTACTCATAAAAAATAAAAGTGATTATTAAAGGCGTTTTTTGCCAGAAACACCTTCAATAATTCTCCTAAAAAATTTGTAGATGATTATCAAAAACGCCTTCAATAAATCTCCTTGTCAATAAATTTGTGAAAAATGGAGTAGCATTTGATGGTTAGAGTATAAAATTGTTAATTATAAGGTCATAGGTTTGATCTCTTTCTTCAAAATTTTTTGAATTTTTCAAGGGATTATTAAAGGCGTTTCTGGCAAAAAATGCCTTCAATAATCCATCAAAAAACTTAAAAAATGCTAAAAGAAGAGATCAAATCTACAACCTTATGATTAACAATCATATGCTTTAACCGATAGCACTACTCTATTTTTGATAAATTTATTAACAAGAAAATTTATTAAAGGCGTTTTTGACCAAAAACGCCTTTAACAATCATCTATAATTTTTTAGCGAAATTATTGAAGATGTTTATAGTAGAAAACGCCTTCAATAATGGCCTCTATTTTTTATGAATAGATTAGTCAATGTGTTTTTGCCTAAAATGCCTTCAAAATCTCTTATAAAAAATTGAAAGGGATTACTGAAGGTATTTTTTACAGAAAATGCCTTTAATAATCCCCCTCTAAAAAATATTTGAGGGGATTATTGAAGGCCTTTTTGGTCAAACAAAGACATCAATAATCTCCTTTAAAAAATTGAAGGATTATTGAAGGCATTTTTTGTCGAAAATACCTTTAATAAATATACTTGTCAATAAATCTATGAAAAATGGAGTAGCATTGACGGTTAGAGCATATGATTATTAATCATAGGTTCAATCTTTCTCTTAAGCATTTTTTAAAATTTTCAAGGGATTTTTGAAGGCATTTCTGGTTAAAAACGCCTTCAATAATCCCTTAAAAAACCTAAAAGATGTTGAAAGGAGGGATCGAACTTACAACCTCATGATTAACAATCGTATGCTCTAACCGACAATACTACTCTATTTTTAATAAATTTATTGATAAGAAAATTTATTGAAGACGTCTTTGACCAAAAACGCCTTTAATAACCCTTTACAATTTTTTAGCAAAATTATTGAAGGCATTTCTGGTAAAAAATGCCTTCAATAATCATCTCTATTTTTTATGAGCATATTATTCAAGGTATGTTTTGCCTAAAACGCCTTCAATCATCCCTTATGAAAAATGAAAGAGATTATTAAAGGTATTTTTTTTTTATAGAAAATACCTTCAATAATCTTCTCATATAAAATGAAGGGGATTATTGAAAGCATTTTTTTTTTTATAGAAAATGCCTTTAATAATCCTCTTTAAAAAATTAGAGAGGATTATTGAAAATATTTTTGATAAAAAAATACCTTTAATAATCCTTTTAAAAAAATTGTGAGAGATTATTGAATGTGTTTTTTTCCAAAAAACGCCTTCAATAATCCTCTTTGCAAATAGTGACATTTTTTTTTAAGTAAACACTGCTATCGTGACAAAATAGCGTGGCTAAAATTTTTTTTCAAAATTGAAACCCCCTCATTCTCCTTCATACTTTCCTTTGTTTCCTCAACTTTTTTCTTAGAAGAGAATGGTGAGAAAGAAAATTCAAATCAAGAAGATTGACAATGTAGCAATAAGGCATATGACTTTTTCAAAAAGGAGATGAGGACTTTTCAAGAAAGCTTATGAGCTTTCCACTCTTTGTGATGCTGAGATAACTCTTCTAGTCTTTTCAACCACTAGAAAGCTCTTTGAATACTTAGCACAAGGTTGCTCTCACTTATCTCATATCTATATGTGAATGCTTTGCCTTGATTCTTGCTTTATCTCTGCTGCTTTAATATAGAAATCTTTGCTTGCTGTTTGATTTAATGTGTTAAATGTGTTTGGATGAGTGCGAGAAGAAGCGAGAAAAGTAATTGTTTTGAAAGAAGATCTTTTGAATCAAGAAAACTGTATAAAAATATAAATTCATGATAATTTATTTGAATCTTATATTCTATTACAAAAAGAACTTCTTTTAATAATTTGTCAAAAGTTAAAGGGTTTTGAGGTGGGAGGCCATGGTTTTATATGAATGTCTATATGATATTTGTTGATGCTTGTTCATACTTTTCTAAACCTTGTTTAAGCCATATTTTATGACTAATCAGATGTCTTATAATAAGTTTATGCTTTCCATATATCTTTGTTGGTGTAACTTAGAGCACAACATTGATATTTTACCTTTCATTTTTCTTGTCAGAACCTGATTTATTGTCATTTTTAGTTTTCTTAATTGAATCTTGTTACAATTTTAGGTTTCCTACACTCTTTTTGAATCTTCTTTAAGGTTTTCATAATGGAATTTACAAATTCTCATGATTTCCTTTTCAAATTCTGTAAAATTCACGTTGAACTCAAATCTGGTTTCAAAACTGTGCACCTGACCTATCTTCAATCTTTTGATCAAAACTTAATGAATTCTAGCTTGATTTACTTCAAATTTTTTTTCCTAGATTTGTAGTTCATAGGCTATAATCCAGTAAAAATTCAACCTCAAATTCCATTTGTATAAGTACAGCTAATTCTTCAAAGTTAAGGGTGAATCTAGAAAGCAGAAACAATCCATGCATGAGAACTTGATGAATGATGATCCTCTCTCCTTCTAGGTGTTCGATTTGATTCTGTCATATTTTACATTCTTAATTTTACATGTTTAATTGTTATTTTTTAATTTATTGGATTTATTTTCATGAATTCATTTGGTGTTTGGATAGATTTAATTGTTAATGCTCTGTTTTTCTCTATTTTCAGTATCACTTGAGTTGCTAGTTCATTAAGCTGGTTTTTCTCTATTTTGCTAGCATTTCTTGTTGAATTTTGTAGCAAACTTGATTGATGAATTGTTTCTTAGCTCATTTCAAGTTCATTTTCATTATAAGCTTCTAGACCTAATTTTTTCTTTCA